ACACACGTACACACATAAACACATATAACACGCAGACAACTCTGTGACAATATGTGTTTTTACATTGCATAGATGTAAAAAAAGCTAGCGTTACCTCCATACATAGGCCAAAAGTGTTCGCAAATTCCTCGGCTTCAGCCCATCGCTGTCGATCCAGTAAATTCTTCAGGCGTGTCTCGGGTTGACCCTCACAAATTGAATATAGTTCAACCGCCGATTCACTAAAATTGAAGTGGTGACACGAAAGCGTTCCCGTATTTTAACATTTCAAAAACTTAAAGCATCCAAAAAAATGCTGTAAAGCTGTTGGTCATTTATTCCCATTGCTTTGAGTAAACTGAGGAAAATTTGAGTTTCTGGAATGTTAGATAAGCAAGTAGCAATTCACAATGAAGGTAAATCAACGAGTTGTAAAATCAGATCCAAAAAATTCTCGTTCTCATTTACTCGGAGCAAATGAAATTATGCAGAAGTGTTTTGGAAGTTTTTGAAAAATTTTGAAAAATGTAAACTATGGATGTTTGTTTGGCACTGTAGGCCAGCCGATGAAAGGGACACAGTCGAATATTGTCAGTTGTGGGAAGGCAGTGAGTGCTAATTCAGATACCCAGATAAGCGAGCCTGTATTGTGCATTAGCTGTTGTCCGGTCTGTGTTTCTTGAGTTTGTATCATACTGCCAACAACAACAACAACCCTGTATTGGCAAAGATCCCTAATTTAAGGACAAAGTTTTCTAGAATTTTTGTTCCATTCACCTGTTTATTGAGAATGGACTAAAGCATTCCTGTCTAGTTTTCCTTTTTCCTATTCACTTCTTCCTTTAATTCTGCTTTTTTTTTTTCATTTCTCTGACTGCTACAGCACTGATCTCACGCAATTCTTCAACGCTGACAAAAATGTACAGGCAGTAAATTGTGCACTTTCTTTTTTCAGCCTCAGATTTATTCAAAAATGCGATAAAACTTCAAATTTTTTGCCTTTTGCCAACTTGGTAATAAAAAATTGGCAAAATTTACAATAAGAAACACAAACCCTTCCGACTTTGAAGAGACCTGAACAAAAACTATCAAGCCCTCTTCGTGTGTTGCTCTGTCCACCAACTGTGTCGAGCTGTCCACCATTTTTGTATAAATTACTTCGCCAAGTCCCAGCAATATTATTTGAAGCTAAAATACCTAAGATAATAACTACAAAAATACAGTATTCCTGAATTCTTCGCACTTTCGTTAGGGATACTTAAACAATCCCTTCTTTTTTAATTCTCTTCGAGACAGAAACATAACTTTAATAAATTTTTTTTTGGCTTGGTACTGAATTACGGGGGTAACCCCTGAATATTTCGTGTATGAATTATACGTTTGAGTTCATTTTTGCAAATTCAAATCAAATGCAGTTAGTGATTTATGTATAACATGGGCAACTGGGCAAGACGAAGGGCTTTAGCCGGCATTATCGTTTCCTTGCCGTTAACACCTTGTTCCTTTTGCAACATATGGATATGAATAGCAGCTTCGGACGATTCCTCCACACATATGATTTTATACGAGTACGATGAATTTTGAATCAAAAGAAAAAAAAATGCTGCCAGCTGCAATAATGGTGAGAGGAGACGCAGTGACAAGAAAAGTTTTAAAATGGACTTCTATCTTAAAAGCATCAACTTTCAGGTTTTAAAAAATCGCAACTTTTTCTTAAAGAACAGGAAAATATTTTAAAGTTCGAAGAAGACGTAAGCAAATAATAGCTAAGAAATTAGTAAAAGCTGTAAAATATTGTAGAATATTAAAAAATTATTAAAGTAATGGTAAGAAATGTTTCGGTCCGATATAAAATTTTGCACTCCCATCAAGGATAACAAAAATACCATAAACGACCCGGACTTATAACCCCATGCAGATATTCTATGTTAGTGATGTTACTAGGATGCTTCCACAAGTCAGAAGCAGCTAAGCAAGTCGCTCTGCCCCTGGGCTACTTATCTCTGAAGCTAAGCAAACCGATTTGTCCTTGGGCTGAATACTTCTAGTTAGTACACACCGTTTGATATTTATACGCATCAACACTCGATAGCTGGTTAATTTAACTATGCGCAGTTCAGTTAAATTAACCAGTTGACGAAAGGTAGCGAATATCCCGAAAATTCGCCCATTTGTTTTAATATTACGACTCAGTCTTTTAACGGCCGCAACTTATTATTCCTTAAATTTGACTTTTTCTAACTCTCGGGAAACGAGTTACTGCATAATTATGCGACTATCCTTTATTTTCTTTCCCACCCGTTTCCCCATTTGCCAGTGCAGAACTAGGAAATAAGTGCACAGCCCAAACTTACTCGATAGGTGTCGTCCATTGCTTTCGAAAGTAGCACCACTTTGCAATTCTCACTAAGTTTTGCCTCCTTCTCCAGCGTGAAATCAAGCAACATAAAATCAATCGCCTTCTCACCATCCTCCAGCAGTTTAAGGGACCGGAGCAGCATACTGGTTGATGCGTTCCAAAACAACAGATAACCATCGATAGTCAGGCCGGCAATGTAATGACATGCAAATCGAGCTGATTGCAAATCGCGATCACTGACATAACGGATGCGCACGAAACCAGCATAGTCTATAAAAATTTAAAACTCGGAAAAGACTGAGCTCAAAAACTGCAATCTAAATGAAGCAATTTAGGAAAATGGAAGGAATGCAGAAAATTCGAAAAAAAAAAATTAAAGAGAGCAAAGAGCTTACTTGGATTACAGCTTACTGAAGTAAGAGAATATAAGTTCATTCAAATGAATATTAACAGTTATTCCCTAAGCCACTTTTCAGGTAAAAATTTGATCAGGTAAAACAGATCTATGAATTTTCTATCAATTCTGCTCTCTACAGAATGAGTCAGATATATACATAGATATCGCGAAAAATTCGCAAAAAACCGGTCAAGAAACAGCCACAAAAAAAAGCGAAGAAAAGAAAGGTGTATCTTGCCTTGAAAGATAGATACACAGTAGACGTGCTGCCAGACTGAACTGAAGCAGGAATACCGGTGGTGTAATGGTAAACACGCTGCGTCTGGAAGTGAAGAGGAGTGGTTCGACTCCTTCCCGGTCCAGTACGATTTTTGAGAACGGTCAGATATATATATATATGTATGTATATATATATATATGTATATATCATCATCGATGCATATATATATAT